TTATCGTTTATCGCAATAAATTTTGAGACAATTAATTGCCCAGCAAAATTTGTTATCGTGACAGGCCTTGGTTTGATTTCTTTGTATGTATGGATCACTTGGGTTGTTACCRACATCTGGTGAAAATTTCATGTCATTAGCACCTCTAGTAATATTTTTACTGAGAAAAATGGTGACGTGTTCAATACTTATTTTACCCGCTGTAACAGCTCATCCATTCTGTCTGTCATTTGTCTGTAAGTAGCTCTGTGTCATTTTGATTTGTTATTGACAGAGTGACTGCTTTCCTCCTGCAGATACCTTCTTTGTTTGTTATAAATGAACTTAAGGGACTTCTATCAGTGTCAACAAGAAAAAATCTGCTTCTTTCAGACTGTTCCATTGACAGAGGCGAAGAACCTCTTTCAAACACTGTTCTGGCTTTATTCTGTGATATTTTAATCCAAAGTAAAAAGAAYGAGGCAGATATGTTCATAAGAACATTAAATAATTGTATGAAACAAACTGATTTTTAATCAAAAGCTGCTTAAATTAGCAATCTAAAATTAAGTTAAAAAATACTATGTTATAGTCTGAATCTTCTCAAATAAAGTGAAATAATCTGCCAGTGCAGTAAGACTAATGCACTTGGTAAGACTTGAAATAAAGAAAAATTTCCAGGCTAACAAGATTAATAATTGAACACTTTCTGCTTTTGTTAACTTTATCAGTCTTGAAACAAGATCAGAATTATTTTTATGCTGGAAATGAGTGTAAGACTTAGTTAGATTGATATTTTKTCAGTGAAGTGATTGTCTTCTGCTCAGAAACATTAACAAATTAATTAAGCTCCACTTTAAACCTGGCCAGGACCAGGTTAGTTTCAGAGAACTAGTTACCACAGAAACCTTTGTGCAACCAAATCAAAGATTAATTAATTCAGGATTACACCAAAAAATCCCTTCTTCTACGTTGGTGCAGCGAGCTCCTGGATATTCATGGTTGTAGTGTTTCCTGTCATAAGAGCTCACACGCTAGTGTCAAAATACAGCCCTAAAATCACAGAAACCAAATCAAATGGATTCAAGACACAAATACTGTATTTTGAGAGAAAATATGTCCACTTTTTAACATTTTCAAAACTCAAGAATGTGAGTTTCTTCTGTGTTGAGAACCACTGCAAAGGTTTCAAGACAGTTTTGAGACTCCGTTACGGATGCCATTCCTGATCTAGTCACAACTCAGATACAGGGTTCAGGAATGTCTGACACAACACAGACAGCAGGAAAAACCTGAGCAGAAACATATAAAAATAAAATATACAAAAATAAAACACCTCTGAATTCCATTCAGATCAAAAGTGGTGGTGCTGAAGAGGAAGACATTATAGATCACTGAGTAAGATTCTAGAATAAAACAAGACCACATTGATAGAGTAGGTTTGATCAGAGCACATTAACTTGTCTGTTGTTTGTTTTTTCCAAACAGAAGGCACTGCTAGCTTTCCCATCATGAAAACCATGTCTTCCTGTGAAGTGCAAAGCAGCTAACTTGACAACTTCTTCTCTCTCCCCTTGTCTTTTTTTGTCTTTACATGCATTTTGTCTTTCAGCAGCAGCCGTAGCACACCTGTGTCATCTAAAGCCCCCTGCTACCTTTGACAAGGGCGTGACCCGACTGCTTGACACTTTGATCCACCCCACATAGCCATGATGTGTTGCTACCATGCGGACCAGTGGCTGTCATGTCCCCTTCTTTTCTCCTCTTTTTCTACAGGACTCGGCTTCTGCCTCTCCTTCCTCCCAACGGTCACCAACTTAGCCCAGTACTTTTCCAGACGGAGAGCTCTCGTTACCTCCATTGCTTCTTCAGGAGAATCTTTTGCCATAATTGCATTTGCACCTGGTAAGTGTATGTATGGTCACAGTCATATTCATCTTACCATTACTTTTATTTATATTATAAAGATAAAAAACATTCAATGAAATCTTTGCTGTTTTCACATGTAAATTCTGTGAATTATCTCCTGCTACCAAAAGACAAGGTAGCTGATGATGCTTTTGATTGTGTTTGTCTGTTTTAGTAAAATACCTCATGAATCACTTAACGTTTTTTAAAAAACTTTTAGAAAGTAATCATTGGCGGGATATCTACAACTGAATATCTTTTGGAATTAACTCGCTATAAGATGGCTGGCACAACATAACGTTTGCCAACATAAACACTGGCTATACTCATTGGGTTTTACAGAGTATAAAACGTATATTTGTATGACTAGGATTGAAGTAAAGGTGTGTGTCTGTGGAACTATTATTATAATTATTATTTATTTAATTATATATTTATTCACAAAAAAGTATGATGTTCATTTTGTAAAAGTGTCAGGTTTAAATAGTCGTAGTTTGTCAATAATATCTGTGCATTTAAATTCTACACAGAATTACAAGATTATAAACAAAGTTCTGGCGATTTAAATCTACTAAACTTGTTTAGTTTATTTATATAGCACCAAGTCAAGACAAATGTCATCTCAGGGCACTGTACRAAAACCCACAAAAACAGTCCATTAAAGGAAACCAGATTTTATTGAATCACTTCATCAGTCTCCCATCCTGAGCAGCACATTGGTTAGAGTGGAAAGAAAAAACTTCCTTTAACAGGAAGAAACCTCCAGCAGAAACAGACTCAGGGCGGGCATCCATCTGCCTCCCCCGGCTGGGTTTGAGAGGACAGGAAAGAGATGCAGACAAACACAGAGGGGACATAGAAAACACACATTATTGATAGAAATAATTACAACAAACATGTAGAGAAGAGAGACTAAAGACAATAGCAGAGTGAGGAAATGTGCTCAGTTTGTGCTCCAGCAGTCTAAGCCAACAGCAGCAGAACTAAGGAATAACTCAGGAAACCAACCCTAACTATTTACTACTACTGCTACTATTTATCAAACAGGAAAGTCTAATGTCGAGTCTTAAAACTAGACAGCTTGATAATTGAATTCTCTTCCTCCTGTTCTACTTTTTGAAACTATAGGAACCATAAAAGCTGCAGTCTGAGAACAAAGTGCTCTGTTAAGAAAATATGGAACAATAAGATCTGTAATACATATCAGCGTGCTGGCAACTTATTGAAAACATACACCCAGCTTATGTCCAGCATGTTGGACAAATTTGGCATATGTTGACATAAGCTGTGTAAAACGTTATGACAAGGGTTATTACAGCCACCCTCGTAACAATACACTCCAGMATAAGTTCGCCAAAAGTTACAGTAATGTTGCACGAAGCTCTGCTTATGTCAGAAAATGCTGTGATACGCTTGTATAAGTTATTAATAACCTATGTAAAAGCTAGGGACAAATTATGTACATTATGGAACATATGAGATATGGATTCATATGTTAAACAAGGTACTATATATACTGTATATATAGGTATGTGTGTGTGTTT